CCAAGAACCTGGAAACAACCATGCTGCCCATCAAAAGAGGACTGGATTAAAAAAATGTGGTACATATACACGATGGAATACTACGCAGCCACAAAAAAGAACAAAATCATGAATTTCGCAGCAACCTGGATGGAACTAGAGTCTATAATACTGAGTGACCTCTCACAGAAACAAAGATCCGAATATCACATGTTCTCACTCATATAATGAACCTTGAACATACAACGTAATACTATAAGAAAATGACTGACGGTACTGGGAAGCTATGGGGGGGAGGGGGATGGGATTAACAGTAGCAAATATCTGTCGGGGGATGGGAAAACACCTCTTATCAACAGGGTGCCTGAATGAAATGTAATTGTACACCTAACCCTTAACTGTACCCCAAAAAACCATAATAAAAAATACTGATTAATTACAAAAAAAAATTTCTGTAGGGCCTACATTTTTTGTGTAAATTAATGGTATTCAAGCATGTTTTTGTTACATGTATATATTGCCCTGTAGTGAAGTTCAGGGTTGAAGTACAACGATCATCTTAAAAATGTACATTAAATAACTTCTCATCCATCACCCCCTCCCACTCTCTGTGCCTTCAGTGCTTTCAAGGTCTGTATTTCACTCTTTATGTCCATTTGTCATGGCTATTTATCTTCCACTTACATATGAGAACATATGGTATATGATTTTCTGTTTCTTATTTATTTCACGCATGATAATAGCCTCCAGTTCTATTCCTGTTGCTGCAAAAATCATGATTCGCTTTTTTTGAGTTGTGGATTATTTCCTAGGGTATGTGTCTGTTTGTATGTGTTATTGTGTATGTGTGTGTGTATATATTTATAAACCCACATACATATGGTATATGTGCAAATATATATATATAAGCATAATACATTTTTATTCAAACTTTTTTATTCAAGCATTTGTTAATGGACACTTAGATTGCTTCCATATCTCTGATACAGTGCATAATGCAACAAAAAATGTAAAAGTGAGGGTTTTTTTTAAATATAATTTGTATTCATTTTTGTAGACACCCAGTAGTGTGATTTCTGGATTAAATGATAGTACTGCTTTTATTTTTGAAAAATCTCCAAACTGTTTCCCATAGATGTCATACTAATTTACGTTTCCACCAACAGTGTATAATGTTCTGTTTTCTCCACATGCTTGTGATCATCTGCTATTTTTCCCTTTATTGAGTCATTTTGAAATGTGTAAGTTGGAATCTCATTTCAGTTTTCATTTACACTTACTTGATAATTGGTGATTTTGAGTATTTTATATGCTTGTTGGCCATTTTTACATTTGTTTTTGAATAATGTCTGAAATGGAATGCTGAAATGCTTTGAAACCTGAGGCCCAGGGCTCAAGAGAGTGGCTGGATATCTTCAAATCTCCACCAACAGAGAAAATGAAGTAGGTCTGCTGTTACCTAGCACCTGACTTTGCAATATTTGTAATATTAAAACACAGGCCAATGGTTTTTGGGGAGAGGTAGTGGTGATGAGCACATATACAAGAGCAGGGCTGGTGCGAAAACTTCTGTTTCATGATGTTTGTATTTCATGAGTCTATTCATTTTGTGATCGACCTGCACAATTAAGATATATGCTTAGCTGAAAATAATTCAACAAAATATGTACAAGAAAATAGATTATTTCCTCAAATGTTTTACTGGCTGAAATAAGCATTTAATAAGGTATTTGAAACATTTAAAGTCGTACCATTTCTTCTTCATCATCTATATAAAGCAGACTGGAGTTCATAGAAGCACAGGCCATCATACTCTCCTCCCATGTTTTTGTTTCCTTTCCCATGTAATAAGAGCTGCTGGAATATGTAAACCATTCCTCTGGACAACTGCAATTATATGCTGAGGAAACATTGTAAATTACCCAGAAAAATATGAATACTGTAAAATGACACTTAAAGAGTAAATTTACAAAAGTATGTCATGTGTGTACATAACATATCTAGGTATTCTCACAGAATGGTACATGTAATTTGAAACCCACTGACTCAAACACGTAGACACTGTAAAACAGCAGCCTATCATCCCATAATCGTGTTCACACATGAAAAAAGTCAGCAGACAGTCACATTACACACATCTTGAAATCACTGAACACACATACCTTTTTTATAACAGTAAAATTATGTATCTCAAGATTTGATAGCAATAGGAAATTGCAACAAATAACAAAAAAGGGTATAGTGTTTATGAATTAGTATTTATATTCATTGTTAATGAAAAGAAATAAGCTGTTATATTCTTTATTTACAGACATCTATTGCTAAATTTTTAAATATTTCTCCTGAATATATCTCTGGTTATTTTTTCATTTCAAGAGAACAATACAAAATTGAAACTCTGTTATTATCAGAACTTTGGAAATTATTACGTACCTTTCTGGTTGCTTTCATTTTGGAAGGAATTGGTCTGCTTCTGTGTTGCTGTAGCTAGAAAAATTAAAATAATCTTTTACAAAATTGTATATGAATAAGTCATAATAATGTCAGTTTTTTGAAATTTGGTATATTGTTCAGATATAGAAAAATATAAAACTGTATAACAAAAAATATATAAAGTAATTGAGATTTTGAAAAGCTATTTTAATATCCCAAAGAACCAAATTCAATATCTCATATAGTACTTGATTTAGTCAACTTTCAAAAATTAATTTCTATTTCTCAGTAAGATTTTTCAATTTGTAAAACATCTTCTTGGAGTTTGAAATTAGAACATATACATCTAATTTAAAACAAATATTTTTTATAATTTTCTTACATTTATCCTTTTTCAAATTCAGAACAATCATTCCACATTTAGTTCAAAAACAAATGTAAAAATGAGAATTCTATTCCCTGATATTGTAAAATCTTTAGAGGCACTTGTATTCATTTAGGTGAGAAGCTTTCCTTTATTTTTCCAAAAATTACTTACATAGAATAATAACTATTGTTACCATGGCCACTATTAATGTCAAACAGGTAATTCCCAGGATGCCAGCAATGAGCTTCTCTGAAGGTGACAATAAATCTATAGGAAGAGAAATAAAAACAGAGAAAAGAGAGATGGAGACAGTTATTTAGAAGATTTGCAGACAAGAGAACGCACATGCATAGAATCATATAGAAGCTGGGTTTGGTGGCTCAGCATGTAATCCCGCGCCTTTGGGAGGCTGAGGTGAGTGGATTGCCTGAACCCGCCTGGGCAGCGAGACCTCATCTCTACAATAAATCAAAAATTCAGGCGGGCGTGGTAGCGCATGACTGTAATTCCGGCTACTCAGAAGGCTGAGGCGAAGGATCACCAGACCCCAGTAGGCGAGGCTGCGGTGGCCGGGAGCAGCCACTGCACTCCAGTCTGGATGACCGAGTGAGACTCCAACTCAAAAAAAAAAAAAAAAAAAAAAAAAAGAATCATATAGATAAACTTGGACTCCAAGCTTCATAACCCACAATAAGGTTTTTCTTAGAGTGTACCACTGCATTTTTACTAAATATAATGCTCCATGATTTGCTGTACAAAAACTACAGAATTCAACAATGTCCTGTTTAAAATAGCTGCTATATTTCATTTTAAAATAGCATAACTCGTCTTGAAACTCTGATATTCACAAATAAAAAAATATGTGAACAGTACCTGCTCTTTTCCCATATCCTGTTACCCAAGCTGCTCATCCTGGACAATTATATTGAGGATCTATGAAATACCTTGCCTTTGCTGTGGAAAGTTTTGTTATTGTCTAGAAGATCCTGAGAAGCAGTTTGAAGGCTTAATTCCGCATAGGATATTTCCTGTTCAGTTACTAAAATGGAGCTTTTATTGCCCTTAGACTTTCTCTACTGGTTCTTCGGATTTCGGGACAAATTCAGTTTTGAGTAGATTACTCTGTGATTATCCATCTTTCTTGCTGTGTGTTAACAGGAACTCTTCTGTATAATAACAGTGCCTAAGAGGCTAATACATAGTTTATAATGACAACATGCTTAGCACAGTCAAAAGGAGCAAAATGGAGAGAAAGTATCAACACTTAATTTTCATTGAGGAATCTACAGTTTTTACTCTAATTTCCTTAGACTTAAACAAGTTTCTTTATAGAAAAACATATTTTTTAAAGGTTTATGCTTTGACAAAATATTTAGTAAACTAAAAAAGAAATTGATGAATTAAAATATATACATTAGTTAAGTCTGATTCACAAATATATTTTAATGTTAACATAAGACAATACCTGTATTAAAATTTTTAATCTAGTTTATAGTAATTTTCAAATCCAAAGTTTGTTAAGACTTTTCTGTACATGGAAAACATGAATGTTGATATAAATATTATAGTTTTGCTAATGAACCTTTATTTGATAGTTTACAGTCATTTATTGAAATAAATTAATGGTTACAAAATGTTTTTTTTTAAAGACTGATGAGCTCTGAATATTGAAGAATGTAACAATTTTTGTATTTTGGAAAATATTACATGACATAATAAACATGCATAACAGTATTGGAGAGATTAAAACTTTTTAAAAAATACTTATTTCATAGATGTATTTGCTATTATTTCCTGGCTAAAATGTAAAATCATAAAACAATAAATAAAAATATAGATCATTTTTGTAAAAACTCTCTTGGTTTAACATTACAAAAAGATTCCATGACTGTCAAAATGAGTCAAGATCATCTTAGTTGTGCATTTGCAAAAATTCAGATAGTTTAATCTAATAATTTAGTCAATGGATTCTGGAGTTAGAGCGGTCTAGAATTAATTCTGACTTTGAAGTTTATAATGTGTGCCCTTCAAAAAGTTATTTAGTATCTTATAACCCAGCTTATCAATGAAAAGTGAGCGTAAGAGCACATAAAATGTAATGCATGTAAAACATTTGCTAAATTGGCACATAATGTTTTAATAAATATCAGCTATTTTAATGATTATTTTCATCACAATTGCTATGTTATTTTTTTCTGATTCATGTCAAAGCACGAAAAATAAATTATTAGAGAAGTCTCTTACAAAAATGCGATATATCCATTTGCAATATTATGACCAACTTTTAAAAAGTATTTTTCAAAATACTTTCAATGAAATTTAGTATTTTATGTAATCTACTTCATCCTCTTTTTTATTAAAAAATAAAAATTGATTTTATTAAATCTACTTTAGGGTATGATAATAGTGTATTTAACTTTCATTAATTTATTTAGTTTAACAATCTCTGTACAATGACTAACCTAAATAAAAAATTTTATATTATTCAAAGATACACAATGTTCTGATTACAAAAATTCAAAATTAATTGATAGTTATGATATTTATAGGTCACACAAATAATATTGACTAACAAGCTCAAGTATGTGTGAATGCAATTAACTACTTTCCACAGACAATAGTTTGAAAACTTTAAGAAATTCTCCAACATATTTCACATTCCAGGGTTCTATCTTGGCTTATTCAAATAAAGATATCAAATTTACACTGATTTTATTGTGTGTGAATTGAACCTCCATTGCATCAAATCTAATGTTTGCAATATGCCACTAAATGAGGTTGACTAGTAGAGAGATGGAAAGTTGCTGCATGTATCTTCTGTCCCAGAACGTCACAAATCCTTTAGTGGAAAGGCTGGAATAAAAGGTGAAAGTTAAAGACATATATCCAGAACAAATAGAAGCAATGTCTGTGATCTTCACAGACTGCCCTGTGAAGGCTCAGAGTGAGGTAAGAGTGGAAAAAGTTGATTTCTCTTCAATCTGTCACTGACGGTTTGAACAGGAAATTCTCATTCATGGGCTATTTTGAAATAAGTTTTTCTCATTACACACCTCCAAACTACAGGAGATTTGAGCACTTATTAAGTGGACTAAATAGACTTTGAACATGTGTCATTAACTTGTTCATTTTCATGTGCCTCTGAGAAACTGTTTATATATTCTACAAGCCATGGAGTGTAGAGAGTTACTACATATATAAACTTTTTTCGATTTCAATCACAAATATTGCCAACTTAAGACTTGTTAAGAGTGTCTCAGCTGTTCACAAACCAATTTTATTTTTTTTTTTTTTTTTTTTTTTGAGTTGGAGTCTCACTCTGTCGTCCAGACTGGAGTGCAGTGGCCGCTCCCGGCCACCGCAGCCTCGGCCTGCTGGGCTCCAGCGATCCTTCCGCCTCAGCCTTCCGAGTAGCCGGAATTACAGGCATGCGCCACCACACCCAGCTGATTTTT